TTTAAGATTTTGTGTTGTAAGAATTGTTGGAATATAGCTTGGATGGTAGAGTGCTCGCTTTGCATGCGAGAGGTACGAAGATGGATACCCTACATCTCCAATCTTATATATAAATGGGAAAGTATCAATAATTATTAATGTTTTGAAAAGACTTGTTAGTTCCGTTATTGGATGACATGAACAAATTAATTGGTTTTCTAACTTAGAACTCAAAACCAAGAAGCAAAAAAAACAAAAACCAGTTATTTTCCATATTTCCATGAGATTGCTCATTTTCTCTTTCAAATAACCATATAAATTCAATTCTTAATTTCATCATTCATCCATTGTCCAAAGCTTCCCCCGCCCTCCATGAAACATGAATTATCTTCTTCTTATTCGACGTCGTCGTCAAATACTTTGGCACGCCTTCTATTTGCTTACATTTTGTTGTGTTCGTGGCATGCTTCGTATGGCAATGACTTATCGACGTCGATCGACATCAACTGGGGGGATGAGCGAGGCGAGATGGTCAACAATAATGAGCTTGTGATTCTCAGCTTGGATAACTACTCAAGCTCGGGGTTTCAATCGAAGAACGAGTACTTATATGCTAAGCTAGGAATGGAAATGAAGCTTGTTGCTGGGAACTCTGCCGGGACCGTGACTACATTGTTTGTATGTTTGAAACCAAACCCTATACATATTCATGTACAAAAGGTGCGAACACATATAGGGTCACTCCCTATTGCAAAATCTACAAGGTTGTGCCCTTACAATATGTACTACATGCGAGGTCACTCCTTACATGTTTGTGATATGATTTTGTTAGAGTCATGCCCTAACGATATTAATTTGCATGCGAGGTCATTTCTCATATGTATGTGATATAAGATTCTACTAGGGTCGTGTTCAACGATGTGAACCCACATGTGAGATCATTCATTGCATATGTATGATACGATCTATTATAGTCATGTTTTATACGATATGAGCTCACACGATCACGAGGTCACTCCTCACATATATATAATTTATAAAAGATTGAGGCCCTTTGAGAAAATCAAAAGATAATATTCATATCATTGTAGAGGTCCATTGTACCAATCCATTTATTTATGCGTAAAATAACATAGACATCTTATTTCACAAAATGTCAAACATTACACTCGGGTGGGAGGTTATGAGGGAACCTTTTGGAATTAGCACAGTAATCATAAACCATGTAGTTTCTCCGCACCCACTTGAGCTTCCGGTGGCCAGCCGAGTCTAACCGTTGGGACAGCCAAGAATGATCTTTTGAGGAGCTGCAAGAGGAGGAGGGCCAAATGCAGGTCCGATCGGTGTTCATATTTCGGTAGGCGGCAGTGAAAGGAGCCTTAGACCAATCGGTCTTGACTCGACCTCCTCTCGTGGCCCAGTCGTCGGCATTCCAAAGGCTTGATTGTAGCCTCATTGGCTGACTTTTGGGGAATGGAATGCCTAGGGATTCCATGTTCTTGAACTCTCTTATGGGAGTCCCATCCACGTAGAATCTAGCCCAAAAGGGACCATGAGGAAATCGTTACGTTTTAAATCCATCTGTTTCTACTAAGAGTTCGATATAAATTTATAAACAATTATGATATCAATTAAATATGAAAAAGAAAAGAGTTTCGTGTTTTACATGATAGTTTGGGGATTCCATAGAAAGGAATAAGTGTGAAAATCAGCGGTTGGATCAAACCAAAGATAAAATTGTTGTTCTTTGTCACCTTTGCCTTGAGTGTATATATTTGTATGAACAATGTATGGCTCACCGCTAAGGTTCCCGAGGAACTCAAAATCTATCTCATCCTACTTGGACTTTTCTGAACGTAACTGCAATCAATACAAATAAAAACGTTATGCAAACGAAATCTGCGACATTCACACAAATATAGCTCTTTATTTAATAGAACCAATCTAAGACATTCACACACGGTTGGGTATGTAGTCCAAATACTATATTGGCTAAAAAAAGAGAAGAACATAGATTATGAGACATTTTGAATTATTCCAAAAACTCGCGATGATGACTTATATTCTAAGCAGACAATATCCTACCTTGTGGAGATATATCCTTTCTTTTGATGTTTCTAACCAATGGTATCAAAGTAATGATTTCATAACCCACATCAATTGGAGAGGGGAACAAAACATTCCTTGTAAACTCGTTTTAAAAATCTTGAGGTGAGGCTTCAAAGAAAAGCCTAAAAAGGACAATATCTATAGCGGTGGGCTTGAGGTGTTACAAATGGTATCAAAGTCATACATTGAGCAGTGCGTCAGTGAGGACGGTGACCCCCAATGGGTGGATTGTGAGATCCCACATTAGTTCGAGGAACGAAAGATTCCTTATAAGGATGTGAAACCTCTCCGAGGTTGAAAATCTTTGCGAGGAAGCCTGAAAGGGAAAACCTAAATAAGACAATATCTGCTTTTGCAACGAATTAAAGAGCTTACCTAATATGTTGTGACCGTGCCGGCCGAGTGGCCGGCGACCAGCTTAATCTGCATGTCAATTTTCCCAAACAAGTACTGATTCCTCGACCGGAAGCCGGAGCCGGAGCCTTTATCAAGCGATAGCGTCAGCATCCTCCCGCCATTCACGATCTTTGCCCGGCCACCACCCCACGTGATCTCCAACTCCTTGTTTAAATTACCAGCTCCGGCAAAGCCCAACAAACAAACCACCAAAACCACCCAACACAACGGCGGAGCTCCGGCCACGGCGGCGGCTGCTTAATTTTGGCTAATACCCTTTTTTATTTAAAAGAAATGTATAGCGAACAAAATATTTATTTTAAAACTTTCCACGAGACAATCACCCGTCACGAGACGTGTTGATTCGAGTACTGTATGTATTGGATGGGGACAGAGAAAGATTAAAAAAAACGAAAATTTCACATAATACTTTTGATCGAAAAATCATAGCGTGTTTATGAAAAATTATAAAAAAATTTTTAAAATTTTTGTTTTATTTATTTATTTTCAAAAATTCATCTCAAGCAAGCACTTTCTGTGCTTTTGAAAATGGAGTATTAGGAGGAGTGAGGATTGTGGGAACTTTTGTAACTAGGGATTTAAGGGTTAAGGTGAGGGGAAATATGGAAGCGAAATTGTGTGAGAGATTGCGTGTTGGAATTTTTGTATATGTCGGGCTTCTCTGTTCTCTGAGCTATGCTCACTCGTTGTGTAAGGTTGACCTGGAGATAAAATGGGCACGACTCCCCCTCTCCTCATTCAAGCCATTTCTCGTCTCAACCCCCTCGAAGAGGGCAAGAAGAGGTCGCCAATAGTACGTGCTACTCCTACTTTCTCTTGACCAAAAACGGAGAACGTAAATAGATTTAGTAGGTGATATAAAACCTGAGGGGAAAAGAAACCGATAAAGTCACTCTCTTCTCTGGATATCATCCAAAGAGGAGAGTTGTTGAACGGCTCTCTGTAAACAAAAAAAATAAAATCAAAATAAAAAATTCCTCCCCAAACCGTGCTTGTTTTTTCATTGCCCACTACTTGTAAGGTGAAGGCGAATTTTAGGTTCGTGAACACTCCCTGTTCAAGAAGAAGTAGAAAGTCAGTTTTCACTCCTGTCCTAAGAAGCAGGTCTCACTCCGTTCAAAGCTTCAACTAGCTCTTTTAAATTGTTGTTTTCTAATCCTAAACTGACAACAACAAGACCAACTAGGCTCAAGGGGCCTTTGCCTGAATTTATGTCGGGGAATCTTAGAAGATTTGTAATTATCTTTATTTAGAAAACGAACAATGTCTCACATTAATTAAGCAAGAAACAAATCCGTTGTATACAAGCAAAGGACAAAAATCTTTACCGATAATATGAAGTCTTTTGAATGAAACAAAAAACAAAGTCACGATAGTCTTTTGAATGAAACAAAAAACAAAGTCACGAGAGTTTGTACCTTCATCACATACCCACAACCAACTCTAATGGCTCGAACATAAGTGAAAACTATCAATCAGCCATGTTTTGTTCGGGAGGTCACCCAACATGACATGGTAGCCAAATTGAATAATTAGACAAGAAGTATGAAATCTCAAAACGTTTTGAAGCTCGATTTTCTAATTTTCTCGAGGTGAGGGATTGATTATTCAAAATCCAAGCTCGATTCGAATATGTTTTACTTATAATTAAGGAAAACTTAAAAAGATTGAAAATCATTCATTACCTATATCAACAAGGTGCACCTTCTTTTTCGATGATTCAATCATATATTGGTTGACATCTTGAAATTTTTCTTAGAATGTACGTGAGTAAAGACAAAACATGCTTGAAGGACTTGTAAAAATAATCAGCAAGTAGCTTGACCATGTTGGAGGGGAATGTCGAGGCATAGCAAGTTGCTAATACACCTTCTCCAATCACAAATAATTATCGAGTCTAAATTTGATTCTTTTTATAAAAAAAGTTATTTTTATTTTACTTTAGTGTCCAATCATAAAAAAAAATGACGATGATTCCTTTATAAAATATACCTCTTCGAGAATGTTTGTCTCTTTGCATCATAAACACGTGGTGATATTAATATTTCAACTAATTAGATAAGATCTACTTAACTTTAAAATGCTTTAAAAAGTTAACCCATTTATATATTGTTCGTCGTTTTAAACCTATCTCTATTTTTTAAAAATTACAATATTACCTTTGACCTTTCATCTCGATTTCAAAAGTATCATTACAGTAACAGGAACACTTTTCCTAGAAAAACAACGTTCCACCAAGTCAACATTGGTTCAACATTGTGACGAGTTTCAATTTTAATAATAGTTCTGAAATGTTCCTAAATGATCTGATGCAACACTAAACGAATAATATGATCCTATATTTTAAAAATGTAAACAAAATATATATATTCGTTACTTTAGAACGAAAACGAGCATAATAATTAAATAGTAATTAACCTATATTCTTTTTTTTTTTTTTTCCCGAGTGGAAAGTTAAAATCTTTACACAAATTACAAAAATTATTCTTTTCTTGGGAGAATAATATCATATCATAGAAAGGGTGGGATTCAACGCTTTTGTACCATATAGTAAGCATTTGTAGGAGCGAGCAAGGGATCTTCAATGGCTTCTCGTAGTGAAAAACCCTTAATTTCTCGTCGGCTTCTTAGGAACTTCTTACAAAGGTGAACTGTATGTTAGCTTTATTTATCAGTCTTCTTCCATTCTCAATTTACAAATCCTCGTGCATCGTTCTTCAGCAAAAAGAAGCTACACTGTTCAAATCAAGCTGTGCTTCAATTTCTTGTACTGCTATCTACAGAGTTTGATTTTGATGGGATATTTTGTGTTGTGTTCATATCAGCTGTTTGTTCTTATGTTTCTCTTATTGCTGCTGGAATTTAGGAAGTTTAGGTGGAAAATCTATTGGGTTTCTTTGAATGCCAAAAACCCTTTTGGAATTTGAAGTTATAATGTGAATTTTTATTTGAAACTTGGATGATATTGGGTAGAACTGAAATTTTTCATTGAGATATTGGTTATTTAAGTTGTGAGATCCTACGTCGGTTGGGGAGGAGAATGAAACACTCTTTATAAGGGTGTGGGAACCTCTCCCTAGCAGACGCGTTTTAAAAACCTTGAGGGGAAGCCCGTAAGGGAAAGCTCAAAGAGGACAATATCTGCTAGCGGTGGACTTCGGCCGTTACGAATGGTATCAGGGCTAGACACTGGGCGATGTGCTAGCAAAGAGGCTGAGCCCCAAGGGGTGGACATGAGGCAATGTGCCAGGAAGGACATGAGCCTCGAAGGGGGTGGATTTGGTGGGGGTCCCACATCAGTTGGAGAAAGGAATGAGGGCCAGCGAGGATGCTGGGACCCAAAGGGAGTGGATTGTGAGATCCCACATCGGTTGGGGAAGAGAACGAAACACTCTTTATAAGGGTGTGGTAACCTCTCTAGCCCCGAAGGGAGGTGGATTGTGAGATTCCACATCGGTTGGGGAGGAGAACGAAACACTCTTTATAAGGGTGTGAAAACCTCTCCCTAGCAGACGCGTTTCAAAAACCTTAAGGGGAAGTCTGAAAGGGAAAACCAAAGGAGACAATATCTGCTAGTGGTGTGTACTGTGAGATCTCACATCGGTTGAGGAGGAGAACAAAACACTCTTTACAAGGGTGTGGAAACCTCTCCCTACCAGACGCGTTTCAAAAATCTTAAGGGGAAGCCTGAAAGTGAAAACCCAAAGAAAACAATATCTATTAGTGGTGTGTTTGGGTCGTTACAGGATCTCTGGATGTATTGTTAATAACTAATGTTTTCTCTTAGGAGCATATATGATTTGGTAAATTTGTTGTTAATTGAAATTTGATATCTCTCGTAGGAATGGCTTTTCTGGAGGTAAAACAGAAACTCTTACGCAAGGTCGAATCTTTAGGATTCTCGAGGGCCCGAGCAGCCCGAGCACTTCATGTTACTGGTGAGAATGATTGATGACATTCGTAGCTCGAATATAACAATCATATGCAATGATTTGTTATTTGACAAAATATTTGAGTTATATTGATTACACTTCATGTCACAAGTTCTCAGATAAGTACTTTCTTTGTTCTTCAGGAAATGCCAGCTTTGAAGATGCGATCGATTGGATCGTTCATCACGAGAACGATCCGGATATTGATCAAGTGCCCCTGGTATAATTCTCTATTCATATAGACTTCTTCGGTTAGTTTTTAAGATAAATTGTAATTTAGATTACCTTGTTAATCAAATATCTCAAGGCAAAAACACTAGTTCGAGATTCGAATCACTCCACGAGCAAGATTGATCACATCAAGCTTGAATGATTCTACATAGAATTGCAAAGAAACTTAGCCATTGGTTGAAGCAAAGCACAAATGCTCCTTTTCCTACATTTTCCAAGTCCCTCTTTACAAAGATAACATACATGACTTTATATAGCTTCAAAATGAAAACCCTTAACTGTCCTGAGGCATTCCAAGAGTTGTAACCTTCGTACTTTTTTACCATAATTAGCCACTATGTAGATTACGTCTTAAAATACATTAAAGAAACACCATAACTCTAAATTACCATCCATAATACATTTGTAACCATCTAAGAATAAATGAAGCTCCACTTGAAGTACCTTGAAACATTTGTTGCATAAATGAAGCTTGATTCTTCTTAAGGTGACGTTAATATTGCATGATTAAGATGTCTGGGTTCATATCAAATGTTATGCAGGTAGCAATAGAGATCGATATCGAATCTCCCGAACCATTTCATATCACAGAGGAAACGAAAAAGAAAGCTAATGAATTAAGGTATGATGCCAGAATTTGTTCATTGTGAACTGCCATCATAAACTTAGAACTGTTTAATCGTCAGTTCCATCATATTAAATTCTTTGATAGTTCACTTAAATTCTTATTGATTTTTCTATGTTTAGGGATCAAATACTGAAAGAAAAGGAAAAGGAAGAAAAAGAGTTAGAAAAACGAAGGGAAAAGGTATCGCATTCGTTCGCGTTCGTTCGGGAAAGAACGAATTCTATCTTGATTTAGAATTTGATCTGTAAATTTGTATGCTCTCCAGTCTCCATGACAATATGTTTTGATTCTGTTTCCATGAAAATGAACTTTCATGATTTAGTGCTTTCGATATCTATAGGATCGAATTCGTTCGGGGAAAGAACTGCAAGAAGCGAAACGAATGGCAGAAGGAACTGAATGGAAACGGTGTGTTTTCTTGTTCAATCTTGTTTCTGACATCATTCTCTGACACATAAAATGTTGTAACTTTCTGTTTGGAGTGAAAGATTTGTTCTTATTTGCTCAGCTATAAAGATTCTAGACAAGCTGAGATAAAGGAGGAGAAAAAAGCAAAAGAAAAGGTTTTACAAGCACTAGAACAGAACAAGGTTTGCTTTCTCCTCCATTTTTTTATGTTCTAGTTTTTGTCGGATTTCTGTCTGGAAATTCTGTTCTTCATGCTGCTGCTGTTTACTGGTTGTTATTGTTCCTGCAATACAAGTGTCCTAGTATGAGATCCCACGTTGGTTGGGGAGGAGAACGAAGCATTCTTTATAAGGGTGTGGAAATCTCTCCCTAGCAGACGCGTTTTAAAACCTTGAGGGGAAGTCCAAAAGGGAAAGCCTTCAGAGGACAATATCTGTTAGCAGTGGACTTGGACTGTTACAAATGGTATCAGAGCCAGACATTAGGCGATGTGCTAGCGAAAAGGCTGAGCCCCCGAAGGGGGGTGGATTGGGAGGTTCACATCGATTTGAGAAGTGAACGAGTGCTAACGAGGACGCTAGGCCTTAAAGGGGGGTGGATTATGAGATCCCACATTCGTTGGGGAGGAGAACGAAACATTCTTTATAAAGGTGTGGAAACCTCTCCCTAGCAGACACGTTTTAAAAACCTTGAGGGGAAGTTCAAAAGGGACACCCTTAAGAGGACAATATCTGCTAGCGGTGAGCTTGGGCGGTTACAAATGGTACTAGAGCCAGACACTAGGCGATGTACCAGTGAAGAGGTTGAGCCCCGAAGGGGGGTGGATTGGGGGGTTCACATCGATTTGAAAAGTGAACGAGTGCCAGTGAGGACGCTAGGTCTCAAAGAGGGGTGGATTGTGAGATCCCACATCGGTTGGGAGGAGAACGAAACATTTTTTATAAAGGTGTGGAAACCTCTCCCTAGCAGACTCGTTTTAACAACCTTGAAGGGAAGCCTAAAAGGGAGGAAAGCCCAAAGAGGACAATATCTGCTAGCGGTAGGCTTGAGCCGTTACAAATTGTATCAGAGCCAGACACCAGGCAATGTGCCAGCGAGGAGGTTGAACCTCGAAGGGGGGTGGACATGAGGCAGTGTGTCAGCAAGGACGCTAGGCCTTGAAAGGGGGTGGATTGTGAGATCCCACATCGGTTGGGGAGGAGAACGAAACACCCTTTATAAGAGTGTGAGAACCTCTCTCAAGAAGATGCGTTTTAAAATCCTCGAGGGGAACCTCGAAAGGGAAAGCTCAAAAAGGACAATATCTGCTAGCAGTGGGCTTGGGCTGTTACTCTTTTCCATTGTCGACTCGTATACATGAAATTGATTTCTATCTATGTTTTTCCGTTGTCGACTCGTATACGCGTCTGTACAGATAGAAAGAAAAAGGGATCTTGGAATGCCCTCTGAAGTAACTAGAAGCATTGCTGCTAAAGCCATCACAATTGGAGCACAGGAAAAGTATGAACATAAATCACAAAATTCAGGCTCAATGAGAGAATGTTTAAGGTCTCTTAGGCACAATCAAAAGGTAATGATATATGTGGAAAACGCTCGGGTCATTTACGTAGCATTCTTATGGAGCTTTACCGCTCATGATTCGAGCACAATGTCATGATTTCGGTATCGTCTCACCGTAAAATCCTTTGTCGATCCTTTGTTGTTTTTGTTACTCCTAATTGTTCTATTTGTGGATTCCAGGATGATCCTGAAAAAGTGAGAAATGCCTTCCAAACCCTCTTCACCTATGTTAGAAATGTAGCAAGAAATCCTGATGAGGAAAGGGTTCGGAAGATTCCGCTCGGTAATCCTTTGTTCCAGGTAAGTTTTCAAATCCAATATGTTGATTATGATACGAACGTCGTAGATATAACAGCGAGTAAGTTTCTACGAAAATGTATATATCATTCACCAATGAGGCCCAGAAGTTTCTTATAGTGCTTAGTGTCACAATCGCACTCTTGCTATAGCAGGACAGTGATTGTGCGACACTTGTTCTAACCAAGCGAACAAGTCAGCCCTGAGAAATTCGGACATCGCGGACAACGTTATATGACTATAAGCAAATAAAGAAATACGACGGCTTAAATAACATTTAATTCAGGGTAGGAAGAAGTGACAACTAGTCATATCTCCCTATAGTACATTTTGGGGCATTTTAGCTCTGATAGGTGTAGATATGGTTTTGATGAACGGTCATACACCTCCGTATTGACCCATGAAATGGTAAAGACCTATGTAGGATGAAAGCATGTAAAAAGGGGTTTGGAACGGGCATGCAACCAGGACATCACGTCTTGGTCAAGCAAGACCGGGACATCCATCATGTAGCCATAGGCAACACGTCTCCCTTCCTTATTGCAAATTAAGCTTTATGAAAATTTAAGCATGAGATCCAACTAAATGTTCATATTTCAACAGGAAAGAGTTGGGAGTTTGAAAGAAGGGATCGAGTTTCTCGAGCTTTGTGGCTTTCAGAGAGACGGAGACTTTCTCTACCTTCCTCGTGACAAGGTCGACCGGGACGTTTTAGTCACGGCTGGATTGTTATTGGAATCTGCAATGACAAATCCCTTTTTTGGCATTCTATGATCAACTTTGGTTTATTGAATTTGTCCAAAACCAGAAAGAGAAGGCACATAGCCTTCTTGCTTTGGGATTTGGACTTGTACTTAAGAACTCTGTGCTTTGTAGAATTACTTTCTCAAATGATTGTGTGATATCAGTGGTGATTTGAATGCATAAAATGAAGCCTTTTGGCTGAATCTTTCTGCTATGCTTATGAGAGTTCCTTGAAGCCTCTCTTTCCTGAGTTAATTATGTCCAAAAATTTTATGTTCTCTGTTAGTTTTGAGTCTTTAGCTAGCGCCACGTTGTCCTTCAGCTGGTCGTCTGGTCCGGAGGTGGCTAACGTGGTCGTTTATCATAGGAAATGCTAAGCCATTCCCCAAGAGACTTCTCCCTTTCCCTCTTGCTCCAACCCTTATGGCTTCTGAGCTCTGTCCTCCCTTCCATGGCGGCTTCAACCCTATGGACGGTAACAACTCAAGTTCAATCCCACTGCTAGCAGATATAGTCCTTTTTGGGTTTTCTCTTTTGGATTTCCCCTTAAGGTTTTTAAAACGTGTTTGCTAATGGGAGGTTTTCACACCCTTATAAAGATGTTTTGTACTTCTCTCCAACCGATGTAAGATCTCACAATTCACCCTCCTTTGAGGCCCAGCGTCCTCGGTAGCACTCGTTCTCATCTCCAATCGATGTGGGATCCTCCAATCTACCCCCTTTGGGGCCAGCGTCCTTACTGGCACACCGCCTTGTGTTTACCTCCTTCGGGGTTCAGCCTCCTCGCTGGCACATTACCCAATGTCTGGCTCTGGTATTATTTGTAACAGTTCAAGTTCATTGTTAGCCAATATTGTTCTCTTTAGGATTTTCCTCAAAGTTTTTAAAACGCATTTGCTAGGGAGAGGTTTCCACACACTTATAAAGAATATTTCATTATCCTCTTCAACTGATGTGGGATCTCACAATTCACCCTTCTTCGGGGCCCAGCGTTCTTGGTGACACTTGTTCACACTTATAAAGAATATTTCATTATCCTCTTCAACTGATGTGGGATCTCACAATTCACCCTCCTTCGGAGCCCAGCGTTCTTGGTGACACTTGTTCCCTTCTCCAATCGATGTGGGACCCTTCAATCTACCCCCTTCGGGGTCCAGCGTCCTTGCTTGCACACCGCCTCGTATCTACCCCCATCAGGGTTCAGCATTCTCGCTGGCACATCGCCCAGTGTCTTGACTCTGATACTATTGGTAACAGTTCAATCCCATCGTTAGCAAATATTGTCCTCTTTAGGCTTTCCCTTTCAGGCTTCTCCTCAAAGTTTTTAAAATGCGTCTGCTAGGGAGAGGTTTCCACGCCCTTATAAAGAATGCTTCGTTCTCCTCCTCAACCAATGTGGGATCTCACATATGTCTTTTAAGCTCTGTCCTCCCTTCCATGGCTGCTCCAACCCCTATGGCTTTTAAGCTCCGTCCCCCCTTCCATGGCCGCTCCAACCCGCCTTGACATCTCTCCACCGACCTGATTCAGGTGCCATCATTCCCTGTAACCAACAGAAAGCTCATGGAATCCTCTCTGATTGCATCTTAATACCAATACTTTTCTTAGCTTCCATAGTTTCCATGCTACATGTGGGAAAGTTTTACAGTTCTTCAACCTACCTTCAATCCTGCAATCACTGAGGCGACATATAAATGAGACACTATCCCTTGAGATGTTTTTTTCAATGATTCCAGCAATGAATGATGATTTGTTCTTGATGGGTTTTGAGCTTAAAGCATAGATATATCATAGGTTGTCGAATCGTCTTCGAGCTCGTATATCAGGAAAAACGGTAGCAACTCCCAATCATCTGTATTCAAAACGTGCCCGCTTTGCATCATATACATGTTGTGACGACTATGCTTAAAGTCATATTCGACGTGACAAAATATCTTTCTTTCAAATTTATTATAAACAAGCATCCAGTCATTGTCATGTCGATTTTCTATACAACATTCTAATTGATTTTACGAAGTAATTTTGAACGGTTTGTGAGTGTTCAAATGTGCAATAAACTGAGACAAGTTTGAAAGAAAGACTTTTATAATTATTTAAAAAATATATATTAATCTTTTTAAATCGTAATATTACTTTGGATCTTTAAAAAAAATTTCATTACAAGTTTAGATGAAAGTTCGAATCAGTGGAGATCTGAAAATACGATAGTGACTGTGGAGCTTGCATGGAGTTTGAAGAACACGTGTTATAACAAACCAAGTTCATTGCTAGTAGATATTGTCTGTTTTAGCCCTGTTACATATTATCATCAATCTAACAATTTTTAAAAAGTATCTACCAGGGGAGAGGTAATGGGCTGGAGCAGCTAGAACATATGATGTAACAAACTAAGTTTATTGCCAGTAGATATTGTTTGTTTTAGCCTCTTACATATTATCATCAGTCTAACCGCTTTTAAAATGTGTCTACTGAAAAGAGGTAATCGACTGAAGCAGCTAATATCTGCTAGCTATAGACTTGAATTTAATAAGGATGAACTGTTAATTGAGTTTTTTTTTTTTTTTTTTTAATTCTTTTTTATAATTTAATCTTTAAATATATCAACGTAATTAATGCCCTAATCACAAAATAGGATTGATTGATCAATGATTAATTGGCAGATAAACACACAAAAAAATCCAGATTATAGAAACGTCACATCCAAAAATGTCCGCCAGTAGAATTTCCTTGTCCGAGACTGCTCCATTGCTCGGGCAGGAGCAAAGCTTCCAATCCCTTCCTACTCGATTCCCTTCCTCCGCCGTCGGAATGGATTCTGGAACCGACGCCGTCATTCCCCGTCAATCGGTCTTCCTCGGCGTCGACGTTGGCACCGGCAGTGCTCGCGCAGGTTTTTCCATTTCCTCGCTTATCTTTATGCAACTTTCCAAGCGATATTGTTTTCATCTGGATATATTGCGTTTGTTTCGAGTCTTCAATTTGGGGTCCGAATGGGGATGCATTGGAACTGCGTGTGCGATTTTGTGTGCGTTTATGGAATTAAGGATGAAGGATATGGATTTGTCTATTTTTATTCTATGTACTAAGAGATTTAAAGGGTATTGGACAGTGTCGATGTGAGGTGAGAACGAATTGAAGTGGGAGAGGGAGTGTCATAATTATATGGGTGATCGATTAGAGGTCACTTTATCTGGATGGTTAGCTGGTGCGTTATACTTATATGGATAATCAACTGGAGGTTAGTTTTTGGGGGTAGGTTAGTCAGTTAGATGGCACAGGAGTTATTGGTTGGCACTTTGATCCCACGTCGGTTGGGGAGGAGAACGAAGCATTCTTTATAAGGGTGTAGAAACCTCTCTCTAGTAGATGCGTTTTAAAAACCTTGAGGGGAAACCCGAAAGGAAAAGCCTAAAGAGGACAATATCTGCTAGCAATGGACTTGGGGCGTTACATTGGTTGGGGAGGAGAACGAAATATTCTTTATAAGGGTGTGGAAACCTCTCCCTAGCAGACGGGTTTTATAAACCTTGAGAGGAAGTTCGAAAGGAAAAGCCCAAAGAGGACAATATCTGCTAGCAGTGGACTTAGGGCGTTACATTGGTTGGGGAGGAGAACGAAATATTCTTTATAAGGGTGTGGAAACCTCTCCCTAGCAGACGCATTTTAAAAATATTGAGGGGAAGTTTGAAAGAAAATGTAGAAAGAGGACAATATCTGTTAGCGGTGGATGTTAGCGGTGGATTTGGCCATTACTTTGCCTGCCAAGTAGCAGTAGGAGAGAGTATTGTATTACTTAGCCAAGTAGCAGTACGAGAGAGTATTGTAAGTAGAGGAGAAATTATTCGGAGGCTGTCGGTGGCTGTCGGTGGCTGGTGGTTAGATGGATGAGAGAGAAATAGTATCTAATTATCACGGACATGTAGATTATTGAATGCACATCTAATGGAGATAGCTAAGTGTGGTGGCCTCATTCAATAATTTTTCTAAGTAGAGAGATCAGTTTTGGGCCATATGTGCCCTTCATTTCCTACATTGGGTGCTTGGTTTGGGTCGGGGCTTGATTGGATGCTTCTCAATCATTGAGAAGTGCCTGAAAAGAGATTTTTTATACTTGTTTTGACCTAAATCAGTAAAGAATTGTGGGTTCTACTGGCAATTAACTTGTAGTCAGCTTCGTTTCAAGTGTTGGTTAGTTACTAGGCAAAGGAGTCCATGTTTTCAATAAAAAAGTGAACTATTATAGTCCATGTTTGTTAGCCTTCCTATCTAAATTCTGGTTCCTCTGATTGCCTTCTCTGACTGTTAAACATTTATTGTTATGGACTTCTATTTTAGGTATTTTTGACGAGAGTGGGAAGCTTTTGGGTTCTTCTAGCAGCCCAATACAAATTTGGAAAGATGGAAATTTTATCGAGGTAATGTTCATAGTGAGTTGAGCTCAATAGGTGGTACCAGTCGGATCAAAAATCAAATTTGCATTATATGTTAGACAACATGAACCCATATGACAATAAATTAACTCAACCTTGTGAAGCCATTGTCAAAAAGCTCGTACAATTTTGTGGAACTCTTAGGATTGTATTTTAATTGGAAATTGAGTTTCAAAATTTTATGACGGCTTGCTGCCTAAAATAGCATGTGGAGCATGCATGATTATTTATGAGCTTTCTGTTTCAAACCAGCAATCCTCGACAGATATCTGGCATGCAGTCTGTGCAGCGGTGAAATCAGCATGTTCCAAGGCGAACATCTCAGGGGAGGAAGTGAAGGGTCTTGGATTTGCTGCTACCTGTTCACTTGGTCTGTATGCATTTAGTTGGTCATTTTATCTTGCTCTATTAAAGACTGATCGGCTCACGAAATAATAACTCCTTTAATTAGCATTTGATGGAGTCTCTACAAATTTTCATTTGAAATGGTTGTCTGCAGTGGCAGTTGATGCTGATGGTTCACCAGTTACAGTGTCTTGGAGTGGTGATTCAAGAAGAAATGTAATAGTGTGGATGGATCATAGAGCAGTAGAGCAGGCTGAAAGGATCAATTCTTTCAATTCAACTGTTCTACAATACTGTGGTGGATCTCTTTCCCCTGAGATGCAGCCACCGAAGGTATCTAAATAGATGTTTATAATCCCATTGTTATTTTTTGTGATATACATATTTGCATTAGAAAAGGAACCATTTTTCATTTATTTAGTATAAGATAT